CTCTACTTTATTCACGTGAACAGAAACCATTTCATTTAAACTGAGGACGACTTTTATCTCTGTTGAAGCTCTGGACTTCAGCTGGTCGACATTTAATATTAATGTTAAATACTTCTATGACAAACAGTTGGATCAGTGGCTCTGCTGCACCACGTTTCCTTCGCCTGCATGTTATTGATCCATCATTGATCCACCTCATTAATATCAGTTAACAAACACTTTTTAAAACCAATAACAAAAACTTGCAGTTGTTTGTTGTCAAAATTTGGAACAACACAAACCGCAACACAAAACTCTGCTGAAACACAAAAGCTTATTTATGTTTAAATGACAAAAAACATAATTTATCCGTCAGTGTTGATTGGCTATTAGGCCTAATTATTATGCAACCAATCAGGGAGTTATGTGGGCGGGACTTTGCCCAGAGAGCTGCATCTTATCCAAACTCTACACAGGCCTTGGTGTGGGTCATTTGAATTTTTCTAAAAAAAGAAAAACCAATTATTTGTCATTTTAAAAGAACTACTGTTCAGCCGTGACTCGATAATCCGACACTAAATGTAAAACCTTCTTCTATGTCGGATTGTCCAGATACGAGGAGGGCTGGATGCTGGAAGGATCATTAGTTGTTCATTATTGTTCATAGTTGGTATAATAACTAGTGTGTTGTTAGAACAAACATGAACGCTGGATTTCAGCCTAACTAACCGGTGTGACTGTGAACGGGCAGTCGGTTGGCATCAAAGGTAAATACGTTCAGACAGCAGGCTGATTGAGACAAATCTGATTTTTTTGCCCCTATGCGACCTGGATCTGGTCTTTTCATGACAGTCTGAACAACACATATCCAATAAATGAATATCAGAATATTTTGCTCCATCGGGGGACACTTCCACCCCGGGGCAGCGCTCTGACGGGGTGGAAGTGTCCAGAACACACAGGCAGTACTTGGCTGCTGATGCTAGTTTAGTTAGCGCTCACACTTCTGTTTCCTCCATCGGTGGCGGCGGGGGAGTGGCAGATACGCTCCACCGTTACCATCCATGTTTACTTCCATAAACACTGAGCACGCTCGCTGCGTGTGACGTCGTCGTGTCCTCTTCTGCGCATGCGGGACACTTTTGGGTCGTATGAAGTTCACACAGCAGATCACATACAAGTCGCATTGAAGTGGAAACGTGAAGGAAGTCACAAAGAAATCCTCATTGAGCATCAAGTCCTGCAGTGTGAACGTAGCCAATCTGTGGGATTGTTCAGTCAGATAATACGCCGTCATCCTGATTGGTGACATTAAATGTCATGTCGGAGTCACAATCCAAGGCTGTCGCTATGTTAAGGCTGTTTTTATGGGTTCTGTTGGTTTTTCCTAAAAACCTGTTGGATAGCAGGTTCTGGATTGTTAAGGGTCGATTATCGAGTCACGACTGTATTTAGAACAATAAAGCCTTTCTTATCTTGATGGAATAATCAGCAGAACATCTGATCACTAAAACAATCTAGAGTCTGCAGGTGAACAAGTTGTTTCCTCACATAAACGTTCATCAGATGAGGATTCTTCAGGCCGCTGCGTCATTTTGGAATTAAAGCCACTAAAAACAACATCCAGACATTTTCCTGGACAAAAACGCACATTTGCTGCCACAGAAAACTCAACCGTCGTCATGTCAAAGCTTCAGCGCTCAAACAAAAAAAAAGCACAAGGAACTGTTGTACTAACTTCACCTGAACGTTTGAATGCACTTTTTTTTTCTGCAGCTGGGACCGACAGAAACCTGCTGGTGGCCACATATGAAGGCTGTTTTCAGAGATGAATCCGTTCAGTGACTGTCAGCGTATTTCACGGCCGTCACAATGTGATTAAAACGAGCCTCAGAGTTCGGTTTGTGTGCTGACGACAGCTCAGGTCTTGGTCGACGTGTGCAGACGTCCCGTCACCACGTCTCATGTAAAAGACTCGTTCCGTCTGTAAAACAAACCGGTCTGCGCCCAAACGTCTCTAATTTGCAATCAGCGCGATCTTGTTTCGCTGCGACTCGGCGAAGGACGAGCTCCTAATTCAATTTAGATCCCACAGATTAAAACTACTTCTTCATGTTTTGTTTTTTGTTTTGTTTTTTTGCTCCGTAATTGAGTAAGAAAAGTTTGTTTTTTTATCCCTGCGGGGACAGAAGTTCGTCTGTCAAGTCCTCAGAAAGAGAAATGTTTGAATGGAAACGATTGAAAGCAGCTGACTGAGCAGAAAACTGAGAGAGAACGGAAACAAATTAGTGACGGAGAGAAAGATAGGATGGATGGAAAGGAATGAAAGAAACGTTTAACGTCCACGCTGGATGTCAGAACATCTAAACCATCTGCCCACAGAGCTGGGAGACGAGCTACATCACGACTTAACGTTCTGCTTCAGTCGATAATTCTTCATGATCCTAAACAGCTGAAGACCAGAAGGAAACACTCTGTGATTTGTTCTGTACTTTCATTTGTACCTGATCGGACATTATTGCTGCTGATTAAGTTGATCTCTACTGTTTAATCGTGGATCATCTGCTTCTACAGTTCATATCTACTGGTTGTCTTAATAAAGATAACAGCTGGCCTGGATATGCAGATGTCATCATGCCGTTTGTCCTTGAACAAAAAAAAAAGAAGAGAACACTCCAGACATCTGCATATGAACTGAGGGCATCTGCAGCTGAATTTGTTGTAATTCAGGTTTCAGACTTTCAGACTTCCACAACTTGATTCTGACGAGTCCTATTTCTACTTCGACGCATCTTTTAATTCCCCTTAACTGAACTTATCCACGTTGTTCGTTATAGCTGCTTCTAATTAAGTCTGAACTGGTTAAACTACAGAAGAGCTTTGACTGGTCAGAGTGATGCTGCAGACGTCAGAAGCCTCATTCATCAGAACCTCACATGAGAGACGTTTTAGCGACATACGGGACGAGTTCGAGTCCAGAGTTCTGGTTCATGTCGACCACAAGCTGAATGATTTTACACGTAAAGTTAACTTCAGCTTATTAATGTTTAACACACTTGACAAGGAGAGACAAAGGACAGGTTAAAAAAATAAAACTGAACAATTGTAAGAAAAAGGACAAAACAAAGTATTAAGACACAAACTTTATAAATGAGAACTGTTTGTCAACAACATGTGAACCAGCCGAGGAAACCTCGAGTGGGACGGCCGTTTTAACCGCCTACACTGCTCATAAAAACCTTTTAAGAACATTTAACAAACATAATTAAAGTCTGATTGGTGAGTAAAATGAGGAGTACGCATGCCTGGATGTTACTGATGATAAAACCTGATCTGCTCATTTTGGGAACAATTAAGCTGAACTTCCAACTAAACTGATGCATCGATGAGCTAAAATGTGAATTAATTAGATTAGATTAGATAAAACTTAGATTAACTAAAATATATGTTAACAAAAGATCAGCTGCACAAAACATTTTGTCTACATTGTTTGACATTTTATAGAAAAACAGTATAAATAATAATTAATAGACATTAATATATGACCCGTATGTAGACACACTGGATCCAGAACCTCTGACAGTGGGTCAGAGTTTCAGATTCAGTATCTTCTTTTAAATCACTTCTTTTCCCTTTATATCGGTACCGCCTGCTGCTCCTAATCTACTTTTATCTTCAGCTTTCATCCTAATTCCCCTCCGTGATGTCGTCTTTTTAATCAGTTTTACTAGTTTTATTATAACACACCTTCCAGTAGTGACCCGTCCTGTTCTTCATTTCATTTTTATTGTGTGTATTTTTATCCTTGGAGTGTTTTTATACGTGTTGTTCTTCCTGTGTCGCCTCGTCTCACTCTGTGTTGAGTTTCTTTATCATGTAAAAGCACTTATTAATATTATTATTATTACATTTTCATGTAAACAATCTGAAATATTTAGGAAGCTCTAGGAGACGTAGCATGAAGAAGAAATGTTAAAACAATCAGCTGAGTGGCATCGACGACGTTTCTTTTGATCTGATTTAAGGCCGTTTTTAGACTCTTTACAATAAACGTGAGCGATGCTTTCAGAGACCTACAGAAACGCTGTTTTCTTAATTAAAGCAAGAAGAGAGGAAGCCAGACGAGCAGAGGGCTGAGTTTAGGTAAAACTCTTCCTTCCAGCCGTTGTTTAAACCACTTTGACAGGAGACCTCTTTTGTTTTTTTAACTCTCTGCCAGAAACTAATGCACTTATTTAAAATGAGTCATTTCATTTTGCAACATAACCTGAAAATTGTCGACGCAAACCAGAACCATGTGGAGCGAAGACACGAACCGGAGACCAGAGTCCTGGTCCTCCTTTAAATCCCTGCTGAGGACAGATTTCTGTTTGTCTGTTGAGTTCTACATGTCAGTCCTTTATTTTACTCTTTATTTGCAGCTTCTCTTGCTCGGAGTATTTTTAGTTTTTTGTCTTTGTAAGGTGCTGTATGAATAAAGCTTATTGTTACAGAGATCTGGGAAGGAAGTGTGTTTATTTTAAAGTCCAGGAAAACAAGATGACAAAAGGTCTGGACCCTCAGTTTGATATAAAAGTGTGAGGGGGGCAGTGTGTCGACACCAAGCCACAACCACACAAATAAGAGAGTTCTGCCGCGGCCGTGTTTTGGCTGGCTCGGCCCGGCAGACAAATAAATCAGATAGCGAGGAGTTGGTAAAGAGAACCTGCGTTTGCATCGCTGTTTTTGCGGCGGTTCTTCCAGCCTAACGGCTTAAATGCTGTCGGTAATACGATTTGAGCGCCGTCCAAACACAACTGCTGGCTTTAGGTTTGGCTCTCGCTCCGATGTTTCACCATTTAGATATTACGGCATCTGACTCAGAGTTCACGGCTTCAACACCCGACGGCCGCGGGAAGCAGACGGTATTTCTGTCACTTCACAAATATTTTCCTAAACTGTTGGTTCGGTGTGAACTCTGCTGCTCGAGGATAAACGTGCTCCTAACACAGGAGGGTGGACGGAGGAAACAGGAGGCTTACGGTTCTCGTCCTGAGCGATGCACTGCAGCGGGATGCCGAAGAAGGAGGTGTAGGAGTCGTTGTACCAGACGAGCAGCTCGGTTCCTCTGGGGATGTCCATGCACGCTCTGTAGAAGATGCAGGACCTGAAACACACACAGAACAGACGCAGTTTAATCAGTTATTATCTGGTGAATCTCCTCAGAATCTCTGAAGAGAAAGAAAATGATCCTGAAGACATCTCAGGAGTTGTTTGGATGTGATCTGAAAGGAAAAGAAGCGACGTTTTGTTTTCTCTGCTGGCAGGAAGAACGTTCTGTCATTAGATGATCATTTAAATAGTCGTCAGCTGTTAGGTTCATCACCGACTACACTCTGTTCCCACCACCTAATTAACCTAATTATATGCATGATTGCAAAATAAAAAATGAGAAACCTTTTAAGTTTAATCTGTTTTCTGAATGAGTTCATTTAAAACTAAAGATAAATGAAATCTCTTTGAGCCAGTACATATTTTAAATGTTTGTCAACTTGTGTTCATGATTATTGTCGTCAAGTACGTAAAAGATCATAAAAATAGTTAGAACTAATTCATTTTTATGAGTAATCTACTTAATAACTTGCTGCCAGTCCATAAGAAATAAAAAAAACCTAAAACTCTTCAGTCAATGTAGTTCATCAGGTGAACATCATCTCATTAATGTTCGTCTCTCATCAGAAAGACGAATACAAACCGTCGCTCTTTTTACATTTTATTTAGTTTAATTCTCTTTTGCAGCTTCCTGAATGTAAATACTTTCTGGTTTCTTTCCTCCTCTGTGACAGCAAAATAAGACGTTTGTCGTTTTGGGCTTCTGGGAAACACTGACGGACGTTTTTCACCGTTTTAACGACGAATCGAGGAAATAATCGGCAGTGAAAGGTGGTCGTTACTGATCGTGTGAAGATTACGATGAATGAAAACGCAGCGATAAAACAAAACACCTCGACAGTTCTTCTCTAGAAAATGACCTGACGGTGGAGGAAAGATCAGGGGTCAGACAAATAATAAATAGCAGAACTCATTTTTATCTTCAGGGAAATTCAGGCTTTTAACTTCATCTTTTTCTGCTTCTAGTTCATCTCGTTTTAATTCTTAATTGCTTTATTCACTCTTGAAGATTTTATTGTACTAATTTAACCTGGTTTTTTAAAATATGCACGTCTAAATCTCGTGTTTATTTGTGTGTTTGCTCCGTTTCACTGAGTTTAAATAAAGGTCATTAAGTCCCTCCTCTGACAAAAACAAACTGCTGACAAACGGCCCTCGATAGGAGACGACGCGAAGAGCTCCGTGACTCTGTCCAGGTCCGGTTCTGATCCGATAAGGGCTCGATCCCACATGCGACCGAGCCCGGATGATTTATGGGAAATATCTGGTGTCTCTCACTCTCCTCAGACCGACTAATGACGGCGCTGTTGTTCGAACGCTGACGGTTCCCGGGTCACGCCGCCGCTAAAACAACAGCCCGTCCGCCCAAGAACATCATTCTAACAACGAAGTCCGCGTTCAAAACCGCGTCTTCGCATCCAGCCCAGACTATTTTAAAACACTTTCCCACATGTTTTTCTCCCACCGGGGCGGTAGGGTGTCAGACGGACCGGATCGCAGCCCAGAGGTCACGGGTTCGACTCCCACGCGACTCCCTCGTCTCTCTGCCAACGAGCCTTTGAGCCAGAGAGCTAATTAGTCCTGAGACGGACGCTCACAGTAAAAAGAAACGATCCGACTTGTTTTTTACGTCCAGATAATTCAAACCACATTGAGTTTGCTCGTGTGAGAAACACTCGGCTAATGAAGTTTGACTGGGCGTCGCTAAAAACGCTTCTTGAGGCGATCAGAAGTCCAATTTAGTCATCAGACGGGTTAAAAAAACGAGCCTCAGAGTTTATGGACAAGAAGAGCACAAACTACACAAAACTAACTCACTGATGGATTTAAAAAGTTAACACAGACTTTGTGGAGATATATGATTTAGACAACTTTGTTTTTTCTGCCAAAGAGACTCTCGAGGGAAGAAGGGAGAGCAAACAGCGAGAGAGAGGATAAATAATAAAGAGGAAAAAGACAAATAGACAGAAAAATTAAAGACGACAAAAAGAAAAGCCAAAGAGGCGAGATGTGACACGATGCTTATTTAATTAAGTCAAGACACACCAAACTAAAACACCGAGTGGGAGGAAAAATAAGAGGAATTACAGAAACCGTACTGCTGCAGCAGAGCAGGAGGTGGACAAAATAACAGAAACACCTCACGGTCCACGTTCTCACAGCGTTTGTCCGAGGAGGCCGTCAGAGCGCTGACTCACGGCTGCAGCAGGACTTTGGGCGTGCCGTCGGACCAGCTTTACTATATATGGTTTTTAAACACACTGATGGCTCCTATAATTGGCATTCGTCACCACAAAACTTGCATCAGCCGACCACGAGAGGACACCCACACCAACACGGCAGGTTTTATTTTATTTTTTTGCACAGTAGTAACTTACGAACGTTCGGCCTTTAAACCCTTTGAACCGTTCAAGTTTCAACTTTTTCCAAATGTGCCAGAAAATATGTCCATCAGGAAAAACACCGAAACGTCAGCTTAAGATTGTGAGACTTCATCAAAAAAAAAAAAAAAGAGGCAAAAAGGAACTGTTTCCAACTAAGACAAGACATGTTGAGATGAAAATAAAACGCGCTGGATCAATAAAATAAAGGCAGCGTGGCTCAGAAACAGGGTCCAGAGGAGCTGGTTCCTGTCCAGGATGGTGAAGCATCAAGTTCTCAGTTTGTAGAGGATGAAAACAACAAAACAGTTAAATATTTGTATTTTTTACAGTATTGATAGTCTTTTTTTTAATGATTTACAGAAATATAACTCTAGCAGTTTCCCTGAGGTCTTGTACCGAGGGGATCAATAAAGTTTTATTCTAATTCTAATTGTGTGTCATGTTGTCTAGAGCAGTGGTTCTCAAACTGGGGGTCGGGATCCCCACTGGTGTCCCAAGATCATTTCAGGAGGTCGCCAGATCATTGTCAAAAAAAACAAAAGCACACATTTATCAAATAAACTTATAATAAGGCTTCAAAATTAAAAGTGTACACTTCTTTCCACTCCTTTGTCGGACTTGTTAATATTATCATTTGATTATGCGACATTATTATTATTCTTTTTGCTCTTTTTAAAACTATTTTCTTTTGTTTTTATATATTTTTTCCTTTCATTTGTTCAAAATAAATTAAATTCATTCATTCATTTAAAAGAAAATTAATGTAAAGCGATCAATCTGTGGATTTAACACATTAATGTTTAACGCATTCATTCAAAGTTGTTACTAATGAAGGGTCACGAACACAAACTTATCTTGAGGGTCAAACAGAACCTCTGATCTAGACGGCAGCTCTGAGTTCTCCTGTTTCTACCACTAACACTAACTTCACCATAACTCTGACTCCACCGTCCTGAAGCTTAAAACGAACCCTTACAGTGTTTATGATCTTTAGTCCGACTCACAGGATGCAGATTGCGGCGATCAGCCTTTCATCAGTCGCCTATTAATCATTTCCACCGTCTTCAAAATCGCCTTCGCCACAGGAAACAACCTCCGAGCAGCAATCTACAAGTTTAGATGAAGAGTTGGAGGTGGAATAAAGCTGCTCCGTTCTTGCCATTTGCAAAAAAATTTCAAAGCACGTTCTAGCAAAACAAAATCACGCCGACGCTGTTTTGCAGAGGCACCGACTCTCCGGCACCGAGGAGGAGACGGGTCCGGCTGTGTGGGGTTAGCGAAGGTAAAGCACAAATAATCAACGCAAAGGGCTTCAAGTTATTTTATATTTCAGGGGGAATCACAGTCTTCCACGAGGGTGTTTATGAAACTGATACCACAGAAAGGATCCTGGTAGTGTGAGAAGTGGATCATTCAGACAACAGGGATGATGTATTTAATAAGTGCACGTTGAAGCACAGAGAGCAGCTAGTTCAGCCGGACCGAGCCGACCCGAGCCCGCCGACGGGCCGTGTGTGAACGTGTTTGTGTTTTATTAATTCTTTCCACACCGGGGGAGGGGCGAGGTGCTGTCGGACCCATGTGAAAACACAGCCGGGAGCGACCGGGTAATAAATCAAACATACCCAATGACCTCCCAGGATAAAGAAAGCGAGCGAACATGCCGCGGCTTGTACGCACTTGAAACAAACGCATGTGTTTAATGCTGCTCCGCTCAGGCGAGGCCGCGTCGTAAATCAAACACATCCAACCGGCTCTCAGGTATGAAAAATAAAGACCCCCGCTGCCGTACAGCAGGTCAGAACCGTGGGTCTGGTGGGTCAGCGGGACGCTATCGTTGGCTGTCCGATCTTTCTTCTGTTGTCTGTTTTCACACAAAGCAGAAACAGCTTTATTATCAGCTTCTACATAACATGACACACGCTGGCCCATGTGAGCAGTTATAAATCAGACAACACAAACACCTACGAGGCCCAATAATGTGTCTCCGTTCACATAAACGTGTTGATCCAGACCGTCCAGGCGTCACAGAGCCGAGATGGTCCGAGCTGCAGTGGTTTAAACTTTTATCCAAAAGGCCCGACTTGTACCTCAGCAGAAAGGAAATAAACCTGAACGTGATGCAGCTCCAGAGACTAAATGTTCATCAGCTGACGACGTTTATGTCCATTAACGAGAAGGCATTTCCTGTCAACGCTGTTGATGAATGCTGCTGATTACAGGTGTTTACGTTTCCTGGTCGGGAAACAGCGCAACGTTTCGATAATCAGTCTGTGGTTGCATCCTGGTTGGGACCAGTTTAACCAGTTTCTGGAACCTGACATCATCTCCGGTGTTTGCTGGGAGTTTCAGGTGTTTTCCAACTGGAGGCCGAGAAGCTTAAGGCCTGTTTTCAGAGAATCCAAACTTCTCTGACAGAAACACAGCAAAACCCAGACAGCTGTTTATATCTAACTCACCCAGACAGCTGCTGAATGAAGAACTGTCGCCACCATCATCCTACCAACCCGGTTAGAGTCTCAGAGGTTCAGATCCTAAACAGTAAAGTCACCACTTTTCTGTTTCCACATTTAAAACCACCTCAGACTCACATCACACTGTGTACTGGTGAAGTCACTTATTTATAAAGATAAATATATATTATTTACATACAGCACATTTAAAACAACAGACAATAAACCAAAGAGCTTCCTGATTAGGAAAAAACATTTTAGAGTTCAGACCTTACAACATTAATAATTATATAAATTTATTTGACTTAATTAAACGTTGGGGTTAAGACCCCACAATATTGTTTGACATGCATTTTTTATTTCTCTTTGCTATTTGATCTGATCATAGAGAAATAAAAAAATAAAAAATAAAATGTAAAAAAAAAAATTAAAAATTAAAAAATAATCAAGAATGTTCAAAGATAATACAATGAAAATAAAAAATAATAATAATAATAAAAATAAAAAGAATAGATAATAAAATGAAAAAACTTAAAAAAAAATACAATTAAAATAATAAAATGAAAATAAAAAACGAAATAAAATAATAAAAATAAAATAAATACAAATAAAAAACTAAATAAAAAATAATAATAATTCAAAAAATACAATAAAAAAATTAACTACTGTGGTACTATAACCCAAAATGTGACGCCAGATCTTAAGAGGTTAATGGTACTAATTAATCTGATAAAATATGATCTATTATATAAACTGACCTGCCTAATTCAAACATTAAGGCGTGCAGTATTATCTGTTTTAGAAACAATATTTTATCAATTAAACATTATTCCTACAGTCTGCCTCGCTGCTACACAAATGTTTAGCGCTAAACACAACTAACTTTGGCTTTCTACTCTAATGTTTATATATTTTTTCTTACTACACTTACATTGCTGTATTTTTACTGATATCTTGTTTTATTGTACTTATTATTTATCAGGCTTTTTCTTTAAAAAAAGGGACCTGAGCACTAATTTCAAACATGTGAATGTGAGACAAATAAAGTTCCTAGAATCCTAGAATCCTTACACAAAGTAATCAGACTAACTTGACCCGACAATACAACACACAGAAAACCCAACGGACAGTGGAGAAGAAAACTGGCTTTAAACAGAAGAACATCAGAAGCAGGTTCATGGAGGCCGAACATCTGCCTGGACCAGTCGGGTTGAGGGTGAAGGGGAGAGGAAAGGATGGCAACCAGAAACAAACAAGAACACACACTGTTAGGTAACAGCAGCGTCTAAAATGTCAAGTCATGAGCAGCCAAACAGCGACCAGGAAGCTTCATTGTTGTCATACTTTAACGACAGCGTTTTATAGAACTTGGCATCAACCTGGCAGTTCGTCAGTCCTTAAGCCCCGCCCACTCATAGTCCTCATAGCAACGATTATCAGGGATGACTGCAACCTGATTTGAGAAACACTACCAGACTCATCCGGTGAGTGGACTTAACCAGCAGCTAACCGAGGGTTAAAACGACCAGAGCAGGTCTTTATGTGGTCCACGGCTGTGACTTAATTAATCAGAGCAGCTCGTCGCTAATCCACAGCTCACGCCTGGAGACAGAATATTTCACAGTTTGCTACGAGACTATGATCGCTTTGGAATAAAAGACACACCTGCCTCAGGTAAGTGAAAAGAAATGAAGGTTAGCAGCCAGAGAGAAAGCAGACGTTTAACTGGACCTGAAGCATGAGAAGAGAAAGACGACATTTTCTGTGTTTAAAAGTTAAGTTACTTCAATATGAGGGTTTTATTGGAGCTAAACTATCTGTGAATGTGTCTGGAGAGTTGTGTCTCAATCTGTGTGTCTGCAGTGAGATCTGTGAATGTGTACAAAGATATTAAAAGATGAAAAGTATTTGGCTACAGGTGCTGGAATGAACGAGCCTGTGAGTCTGAGTTCAGGGCAAAGAAACCCTGATATGAATCTGTCACGGCAGAAGTGCAGCAGAAGTCCTGTGTAGACGGACAGACAACAGTGAGGCCCGCTGGACCGCTAACTGGTGATCTGTCTGCATTTCCAGCACTTGTAGCCAAACACTCACACCGATTAACATCTTTGTACGCATCGACGGATCTCTACAGACACACACCTCGTCACACATTTACAGATAGTTCAGCTCCAATAACACCCCCATATTTAAAGTTTACTGATCAAGCTCAAGCCTTATTTTAATTTTTTCAACATCTAGTACATCTACAGCACTTTAAAGTCGAGTGATTTCATGGTCATGTAAACAGCAGAGACACAGTGAACACAAGCTGAGTGCATTTATATAATAATTAATATGTTCTTATAATTAATATTTAAACTTGTTGGGTGAGTTTATCCTTTTTCTCTATTGTAAAACAACATATTTGGCTTCAAATGCGGTGCATAAATAACAGTCACTTGACTCGTACAAGTCATTTCACACAAACAAGTCGTGCTGCAAAAACTTGTTTACATCAACATCACTGAAGGCGTCGAACACACTGAGTATTTTAAATGAATAAAACAGGATTAAATATATCTTGAACAGTTGACTCCTCAAGTGACTCTAATGTCAGATGCTTTAATGATCCACTTTGTGCTGAAAAACACTGTTTCTGCAAAATACTGTCATTTAATAGTAGTATTTATTTATTTATTTTTTAATCTAAACTAGTTTTGATCATTATTCCTCATGTTTCCACACCAGCAGGCACCGACTCCAGCGTCTGCGTGAGGAGATTCCTCCGGCACAGGATGGCGACGTCAGTATCCGGTAAAACTTCCTGTCACGCATCATGACTTTATGTTTTTGAGCTCATTCACGTCTGTGTCCAAGGGTTGAACTCGTTAGTGGGAGGGGGACCGTTAGTCGTCATAATACCACGACACGGTGCCAAACTACCACCGTTTATATGGTTTTTAGTTTTGTTATGTATTAAAACACTTCCTGAAAAAAAGGAGGCGTGAAGTCAGGTGACATTTAACACGAAGGTAAACCTGAATACGTACTTGCAATGGTTAGCACATAGCATTAAGCTAGCTGTAAAAACTGGAGAGCAACATGGAAATACAGGCATTTATGATTACGAAACTAGTTTCCAGCAGTGTGCAAACTGGTTTAGTTGGAAAATTTAAAAGGAGCTGCTTGTGTTTAACGGGAACGCCAGAATGAATGTTTCCTTAAACAAAAAAACAGGGAGACAAGATCAGTGAAACCAAAAATCTGTCACGACGTAGACGATCCTGCAAACATGTCGAACTTCAGTAAATCTGAAATATGCATGAAGGCGTTAATCAATATTTTAACACTAAATTAAGAGGACTTTTACAATCTGAATGCGGTGAGTCATTCCTGTCATCAGCTCTGAGACAAAACCAAACCTTGTTCCTGCAGCAACAGGCAGCTTCAAACAGACCGACCTGCACCAATAAAACGACTCTGATTCATACGGACTGATCTTCTACGTTGTGACAGAAGTTTCTGGATTGAAGACAAACGGTTCAATATCAAAGCTTACACTTTTTGACTCTTTGTTCCCGTATCTGGCAGAAATCTCTGCATTTTCCTGGTTTTTCAAACCGTTTGATAAACAGAATCATGAACGAGTGAATCAATCCCCTCGTTAACTAAACTGGTCCAAATACGTCTTGTCATTGTGGCACCGACTAAAATATCCTCTGCAGCGGTGAAAACGTTCTCATACCCTGCAGAAAATGTTGGAACCGTGTGTTATTCTGGTCAAAATGATTTGATATGACATGTAGATACCAGTAACAGAGAGAACAAACTCCTCCAGTTGAAATGCGTAATGCTTCTGTTTTGTCTCATCGCTCGGCAGCACCTGAACTCAGGATTGTGATAATTGGAAAAAGCTCCGATGAAAAGACGACACTGACCGACTTCATCACGGGAAGGAAAGCCGGTTCTTTTCCAAGAACCAACAAGCAGTTTGCCCATATTCATGGGAAGTGGAAGAGAAACTCGTACATGCTGGTGAAGACGGCAGACGTCTTCAAGTTACCTCCAGAAAAACTGAAACACGAGATGAAGACGTGCGTCGCTCGCTGTCCTCCTGGACCCAACGTCCTGCTGCTCATCGTAAATCCGTCTGACTTCACTGAGCAGGACAGACAAACGCTGAACTTGATCCTGAGCTGCTTTGGACAGGAAGTCTTTGAATGCTCCATGGTCATCACGGCACACGACGACAGAGGAAGGAACTCCTCCGTGAACCAGCTCACCAGAGACTGTGGACAGCGGCTGCTCAGAGTCAACTTTGGGGGAAGAGATTTTTCTCACCATGATCTTGATGAATTAATGACTCAGATGGAGAACATCGTGAGTTACAACAGGGGCGGGTATTTAGCATTTAATGAAGAGGCTGTCCCCATGAAGCTGCCAGAACCTGCAGAACCTGCAAAACCAAAACCCCCTCTAAACCTGGTGCTGTGTGGGAGACATGGAGCCTTGAAGACCTCGGTGGCTCACGCCATTCTGGGACAAAGAAGGTCTGGTCCACCTGCCGACTCATCAGAGTGTGTTAAAGTCCAGGGGGAGGTGTGTGGACGTCGGGTTTCCCTGCTGGAGCTGCCTGCCTTGTATGGAAAACCCAAAGAGACAGCAATGAAGGAATCCCTCAGGTGTGTCTCGCTCTGTGAACCGGAGGGCGTCCATGCCTTCATGCTGGTCCTGTTTCTGGATTCTCTCAGAAACGAAGACAAGACGGAGCTGGAGACCATCCAGAACACTTTTGGGTCCAAAGCCAACGACTTTACCATCGTTCTGTTGATTGTGAAGGCGAATCCTAACGTTCCAGAGTTGGTGAAGGTTGTGGAAGACAGAGACATCCAAGGGTTCTTACAGAGCCTTTGTGAACGACATGTTGTCTTCAACATCAAGGACAAGGACCAGGTCTCTGAGGTGCTGCATGCTGTGGAAACAATGAGTGCTGGGGGATCCAGAAGCTTCACAGAAGATATGTTTCCCAAACGTCCGGTGTTCACCAAACGTCAGAGCAAGCCAATTACAAGACACGAGTCTTTCTTAAAGTTTGACAATATTCAACATCGGGTCGTATTGCACCAGAAGACGGTGCGGACCAAAGAGCCAATCAGGATGGTGCTGATCGGGAAGACCGGCTGTGGGAAGAGCGCCACGGCAAACACGATTTTGGGGGGCGAGAAACGCTTTGAATCTAAAGCTTGTCTAAAGTCAGTGACTGTAGTTTGCCAGAAAGAAACAGGAGAGATGGACGGGCGGCCCGTCACTGTGGTGGACACGCCCGGCTTGTTCGACACGGCTCTGTCCAACGACGAGGTCAAACAGGAGCTGGTGAGATGCATCAGCCTGCTGGCTCCTGGTCCTCACGTCTTCCTGCTGGTGCTGCAGATCGGACGCTTTACCAAAGAGGAAAAAGAAACCGTGGAGATGATCAGGGAGTTTTTTGGCAAGAAGGCAGAAGACTTCATCATGCTCATATTCACCAGAGGAGACGAACTCCAAGATCAAACATTTGAGAGCTACATAAAAGACGGCAGCGATGGCTTTGTTGGACAGCTGATCGCGGAGTGTGGACGGCGATACCACGTCTTCAACAACAACGAACGGAAGGATCGCTCTCAAGTCAGCCAGCTGCTAAAGAAGGTGGAGGCAATGATGAGAAAAAGCGGCAGCCGCTACTACACCTCCGAGATGTTCAAGGAGGCCGAGGCAGCCATAGAGAAGGAAATAGAGAACCACAAGGTAGAGACAGAAAGAAAGATCGACAGAGAGCAAAAGGACCTTCAGAGGAAACATGAAGAAGAAATGCAAACAAAAAAGACAAAAACTACTGCGCTGATAGCCACGTACGAAACAGAAACCGCACAGAGAGAGAAGCAAGCGAAGGAGACGGGCGAGCGCATTAAAAAGGCCGAGGAGAGGATCAGGAGGGAACGAGAGCAGAGAGAAAAAGAGGAAGTGGACAGGAAGAGGCAGGAGGAGGTTCAACAGCAGCAGTGGAAGCAACGAGACGAAACTCTGAAGAAAAAAATAGTATCGGAGAAACGAGTACCAGCTCAGAGGACGCTGTTGACGAAGAACAGGGAGCTGATGAGGAAGGAACGGGAGGTTTGGGAGCAGGAACAACGGGAGTGGTGGCAGAAACGCCGCCTGGAGGACCAACGGAGGCAAGAGGAGGCGGAGAGGCAACTGGAAAAGCTCCGCGAAGAGTACGAGAGGGAGATAAACGAGGTCAAAAGACGAGAAGACGAGCGAATCAGAAGAGAAGGAGAGGAAAGAGAGCTGAGAGAAGTCGAGGAAAAACACAGGAAGGAAATGGAGGAAATACGGAGGAAGAACGAAGAGCACGCCAGGAGGCTAGCTGAAGAGTGCAACGAGTTCAGAAAGAGGTTCACTCTGGACTCGTCCGCTGAGAAGGAAAAGCATCAACAGGAAATAGAGGAGATGAAGAAGCGGCAGCAGCTGCAAAATGACTACATGCTGCAGCAGCTGAACAAAAAGAAAGCAAACCGGAGGGACTTTGACGAGCTCCTGAAGAAGCACGAAGAGCAGAGGAACGAGCTCAGACAGTCGCACTACATCCACAGCGAGGAGCAGCTGAACCAGGAGCTGGACGAGCTGAAGAAGACGCATCAGGAGGAGATAAACATCTGGATAGACGAACGCGTGAGGAAGGCCGAGAGCGACAAGAAGTGCAGCATCTCATGAGGGGTTCATGTGGCAGCGATCCTCATGTCAGGATCTCTAAGTACAGCTGAACCGAGGTGTGACGAATAAACAACGTTCTGAAACTGTTTGATAAACTGTGAAAATAACAGCGTGTGTGTGTGAAATGCTTGGAGCTGCTTTAATCACAGTAAAACCAAGATCATTTCAGGGGGTCGCCAGATCATTGTCAAACAAAAATAAAATAAAATTAAGCCAACATTTACTAAATAAATTCGTATTAATGCTGTCAGAATAACTTCTTCACACCCCTTTGTCAGACTTGTTAAGTTATGATTTGATTATGTGATGTTGTTATTCTTTTTTTGCTCTTTTAAAAATGATTTTCTTTTGTTTTTAGATTTTATTTCTCTTTCATTTGTTCAAAATAAATTAAATTCATTCATTCATTCAAAAGAAAATCGACGTATTAATGTAAAGGGGTTAATAACACATTCATTCTGAACGCATTAATGTGTAAAAGTTATTACTCGTGAGATAAAAATTCAAACCTATCTATCTTGGGGGTCGTGGCTCAATAAGTTTAAGAACCTCTGACATGGAGGAGAAGAAAAAAACGACTATTTGTACTGATGTGGACGTTATTTACAATCTTTCTGTTTTTACAGTTAATGAATATAGTTGTTGCTGATTTAAATACAGTAAATAGTGTAAAAGAACAGAAAACAGATTTTGGACGTGTGCATTTACAGTTTTGTCCTGTTTTGTTTTTGTTTTGTTTTGTTTAGTTTTTTTACAGTTAACATGTAAATGAATATTTTTTTTCTGTGATATTATCTGTGATTCAACGTGTTTAACAACATTTAGAGCTAATAACTGCTTCTGTCACCGATAGCTGGGTTGTGAGGAAACTTCTTACCAGCTGCTGTTTTTATTGTCATTTAAATGTTGTTTTTATCTCATGTTGATTAAATTAAAACTTTTACCGAACAGTTCCCTTTTTTATTTAAACTTTAAACTGAGATTTTACAGCTAACGTGAAACGTACACTGATGAGGCAACATAAATTATTCACAATTTAATTTTGGTTTAGCGAGAAATATACATATTTATTCCCAACTTCAGTGACGCTGTCTGTTCACTTTATTCATAATTAAACCACCTTCTATGTCTCTCTTTCTGCTCTGCACAGCCTGCAAATACATTCTTGTAAACACATCAAGAACTTTAGAAATGCACACAGATGGAAAAGATCCAACTATTTATTGACTGTGACATAACCGGACACAGGAGACGACAAACCAGTTGGTATGAAGGTTATGAGTTATTGAAGCATTTAGCTGCAGAAACTTGTGGTTCTGACTGCAACACATTCAGATTCAGTGCAACGAGAAGTAAGGTGCAGCCTTTCAGTGCAAAATAACGATATATATATATAAAAACCCTCCATATATAAAGATGAAATTAAATGAAATAGTGGAAGTAGAGGTTGATTCTTTGGGCCTAAACAACAAGCTCACCAAAGATGACGAGCAGCAATGTTAAATATATCATGTTTGTGTATTTAGAACCAGAACCAGATTTATTGCCAGGTAGAGTTTACACAATAAAACAACAATAAATATAGAGTAAAATAAAAGTAACTACAAATAAAAGTAACTGTAATGGTGCAACGCAGAAGCAAAAAAATGTCATGGAGTGAAGAATTAAAGTTAAATTTAAATAAGAACCATAATATTTGACAAGAATAGTGAGAGTGCAGATATATTTATATTTATACAGATTGTCAAAAGAGTGCAGCATGACCAGTAACAGCATAGATGATGAGATTTAGGTCAGTGGGGCAGAAAAAAATCATCAAAAACCTTTTACTTCTACCCCACCGTGAAGTCAGACACGACGTTAAATCAGAAGCACTCGGACGCAGCAGCCAGAAAAACTTCAAGGACTTATTCAAGACTTGTAGGTGCAGCAAGGCGACAGACGTCTCGTCTGTGAGGTTTTTTTATAAGTTAAACTAAAATGATCGATGCTTCACAACATCTGGTGACGATGCAGCCGGCGCAGAACAACAAAGTTTTAAAGACGTTTTCTGTCGACGTACCCGACAGCCTGCAGGTCTGATCACAGTGACTCTTTGTGGTGTGTGAGTGAAAAGCCACAGTACCGGGGACAAGTTCTACCGGTTTGCTAACGACAGCTTGGCCCGCTTACAGCTTTTATATTAAAACATCAGTTTGAAACAACCGGCTGGATTATTCATGTGTTTTTAAGTGAGTGCTCAAACGGCTAAAGTGTACAAAGTGTGCAAGAAACAGCATGTTTGTGTTTGTGTGCGACTGTAGCGACACGAAAGACGACAGCTTTGATAAAACCGACGTAAACTGTGGAGGGATTGAAGGAGGAGAAAAGATGAACACAGGAAGAAGCCAAAGCTGACAGCGTCTCTCCACGAGGCTGCTGCACTTGGCTGTTTGACAACTATTGTCTGAGCGACGACGAGCCGCTTCATCGCCGTCATACCAGCACTAAGCCCCGCCTCCAACTCCTCCTAATCAGATCTCTGTGTGAGTTTCTGCTCTCAATAATAAGTTCTACGGAGGAGCGATGCCATGAGGACTTCACCTGGTGAGTACTCTCTGAACGAATGTCTAAAAACGCACAGATCCATGTGTTCTTACTGCTTCAGTCGTATCAGAGGTGTTGTTGTCTCAGGCTGTGACCAGAAGTACGACGGAACAAGTTACACGACGAGTTCAGCCTGTTTAGGTTGTTCAGGTGTGATCGTTGGTCTTAATCTGGGAATTAAATACACATATCTACTCATGCTGAAGCCTTTTACCGTCTAAGTTTTATTGACAACCACTAAAACACACGGATATGTTTCAGTGAACTCCTTTCATCGGTACTCCACCTGCTGCTCTTCCTGCTTTGACCCGTCGTAGTGGGAAACAGGTGGAGCGACAGGTGAGGAAGACCTGAATTAAACTGTCTGTGAATTACATTTAGCTGCTCTCAGGAACTCTAAAGGTCGTATCATGTGTAAGTAAAGGCAGACTTTAGAGGTTTTAGGCGTCGCCAACAGCACAACAACAACAAAAAGATTGTTTTAGGCCAGTTTTGGTCACTGCTGTTTAATTCAGTGTAATATAAACTTCTGTTTATCAAACGGTCGGGAAAAAAAACAGGAAAATGGGGAAATTTCTGTCAAATAGGAGAACACAGACGTAATGGTGTCACTGTACGAGGAGTGATCATGCTCACTGTCAAATGCAGATAAAAATAAAAACTGAGAACAACTCTGAGCCTCATCTTAGATAAAACAAATCCAAAACACTTTCTGGACTTTTGGGGTTTCACAGGAAGAAAATAACCCGTAACCTGGAAGGACTTGGGCAACAAATTCCACTTTTCAAATAACAAAAAAATACTAATGTCATTAAACTCAAAGTTGTATTATAGCAACATCTGGGTTATCCACAGCAGTCGTTCCTTCCTGTGTTTCACTGCTATCATTTAGCTTCTCTTTTCTTTCATTAGCTCCAGCAGGCAGCAACAGTTTCTGCAGCTGAACTCTCTGGTTTGGTGAAACTATGGCAGCACAAGGTGAGTTTCATCCGTCTTTTGTTTTTGAAATAATTTGACCTTCTGTCAGAGCTGCAGTCGACCAATGACTGAAGCCAGAAACAACACATGACAACCGTGGCGTAGCTGTTATGTCGTGATATTAAAGACATTTGTTATTATGATTTGAGGCGTTTTATCGTCGTCGTCATCGACCCGGAGGTGTTAGCAAATGCTGCTAATGGTTAGCAGTGAATACGCTAGCAAATAGCAGCGTTAGCAGCTGTGACGGGAGTGAAACTCCATCAGTGCTTGTTCGATATTTTCCCGTTACGTACCCTCGAAAACAGCGTATCAGCGTGACTTTTTCAGGCAGCAGCGTACCAGGCCGTTATTCTGTTATGCACAACCCTGGGACAGCGCAACAGGTTGGGCGGTCGACCCATGAACAGGGGGTCCCTGATGCAGGTCGTGGGTTTGAGTCCAGCCCGTGACCATTTCCTGCAGGTCCTTCCTCCGTTCTCCTCCCATGTTTCCTGTCAGTCTCTCTACTGTCAACTATAATAACGGCTAAAAGAAAGAAACAGTAATATTTATTCTAAAAATAGACAATAACTGATTATTGTTGCATCTTTTTCCGTCAAAACTTTATCTGACGAAACAGCCAGTTGGACTCAATGAAGATAAAGTCAGATCAGCTGAAACACACTCTGTTTGTTATCAGGTATAAAAACAAGAGCTTCCCTTTTATAGCTTCACCAGATGAATGCCTCACATTAAAAACAAATCCTAATAATATGAGGAGCTACAGTCACATTTATTCATGTTATTTGTGTTTTTCTGCAGCGTCTGAACTCAGAATTGTGACTTTCGGAAAGAGTCAAAGTAAGAAGACGACCCTGAGCAACTTCATCACTGGGAAGAAGGACTTCAAGCTCCTGAAAGTGTCCAAGAAGTCTACGGCCCACGGCGAGTGGAGGAAAACACCCATAACTGTGGTGAAGACGGCAGACGTCTTCGGTCTGTCGCTAGATAAAGTCAGACATGAGATGCAGACGTGCGCTGCTGCTTGTCCTCCTGGACCGAACGTCCTGCTGCTGCTGGTGAAGCCTTCGGACTTCACAGAACAGGACGGACAGAAGCTGAAGTCTGCGCTCAGCTTTTTTGGCGCAGACGCTTTCAGACATGCGATGGTCATCGTAACACATGAGGACAAGGGAGACAATCTGACGATGGATCAAATCGTCCAGGAGTGCAGACAGAGGCAGCACAAGATCGACTTTGACAAAAAAGACTTTCCTGAGCGTGAGCTTGAAGCGCTGATGGAAAAGATGGATAAGATAGTGAGCGACAACGGGGGAGGGCATCTGACTTTTACGGCCGGGTCGGATCACATGGAAGCAATGGAGTGCACGGTAACCAAACCTCCTCTGAACCTGGTGCTGTGTGGGAGGTCTGGAGCCGGGAAAGCTTCTGCAGCTGAGGCCATTCTTGGAGAAGGAAGGTCCGACTCATCAGAGTGTGTTAAAGCCCAGGGAGAGGTGTGTGGACGTCGGGTTTCCCTGCTGGAGCTGCCTGCCTTGTATGGAAAACCTCAGGAGGCAGTGATGGAGGAATCCTTCAGGTGTATCTCCCTCTGTGATCCTGAGGGCGTCCACGCCTTCATCCTGGTCCTACCTCTAGAGCCTCCCACAGATGAAGACAGAGCAGAGCTTGAGACCATCAGGAACACACTCGGCTCTCAGGTCAACGACTTCACCGTGGTTCTTTTTACGGTGGAGTCGGATCCTACAGGTCCAGATGTGGTGAACTTTGTACAAACTTGCAGAGAAATCCAGGAGCTCTGCGAGAGCTGTAACGGCCGATACGTCTTCCTCAACATCAACGACAGACAACAGATCCCTCAGTTACTGGACGTCGTAGAAAAGACACAAGCAGCAGCATCCGGAGGCTTCACAAAGGAAATGACGGCCCAGCCTGGGAAGACCCAAAAGCAGAGTCCAGATCGCCTCAGGATGGTGCTGATCGGGAAGACCGGCTGTGGAAAGAGCGCCACGGCAAACACGATCTTGGGGAGAGAGTGTTTTCTGTCTAAAGTCAGCATGAAGTCAGTGACCAGGTTTTGCGAGAAAGCAGAAGCAGAGATGGACGGGCGTCCCGTCACTGTGGTGGACACGCCCGGCTTGTTCGACACGGCTCTGTCCAACGACGAGGTCAAGCAGGAGCTGGTGAGATGCATCAGCCTGCTGGCTCCTGGTCCTCACGTCTTCCTGCTGGTGGTGCAGATCGGACGCTTTACCAAAGAGGACGAAGACACCGTGGAGATGATCAGGGAGTTTTTTGGCAAGAAGTCAGAAGACTTCATCATGCTCATCTTCACCAGAGGAGACGAACTCCAAGATCAAACAATCGAGAGTTACGTTGAAGAAAACAGCGACGGCTTCATCAATAACCTGACCAACGAATGTGGAGGACGATACCACGTCTTCAACAACAGCGATCAGGAGAACCGCTCTCAAGTTAGCCAGCTGCTACACAAAGTGGAGTCAATGCTGAGGAGCAACGGTGGCCGCTACTACACCTCAGAGATGTTCAGAGAGGCCGAGGCAGCCATACAGAAGGAAATGCAGAGGATCCTGAAGGCCAAAGAAGAAGAGATGCAGAAAGAGAGGAAGGACCTCGAAAGACTACACGAGCAAAGAATGCAGGAGAAGAAGCAAGCGATGGAACAAGAAAGAGTGAAAACCGAGAACGCGCTGAAGGAAAAGGAGGAACGCCTCAAGAAAGAGGAGGAGAGCAAGAAAAGGGTTTGGAAGAAACCGAAAGAGGACCAGAAGAGTCAGGAGGAGGAGAAAGCTCGACTGAAGAGGCTCAGAGAGGAATACGAGGCGGAGAGAAGCGAGTTTGAGCACCGAAGGCTGGAAGAGGATCGAATGAGGAAGGAGCAGGAGGAACAGGAATGGAAGGGCTTACAGGAAGAAGTGGAGATGATGAAGACGAGAAACGAAGAGGAGGCCAGAAAGCAAGCCGAGGAGTTCAACGACTTTAGACACAAGTACAGTGAGGAGAAGGCGGAGGACACGAAGCAACGGCAGCTCATGATCAGACGCCTGAACGCAAACAAGGCCTTTCAGAAGGACTTTGACCAGCTGAAGAAACGGCAAGAAGAAGAAATGAAAGAGCTGAAAGACGCTTCTCAAGTCGATGAACTGCAGAGAGCTCACGAGGAGGAAATAAACAGCTGGATTCAGGAGCACGTGACGAAAGCCACGGCAGGAAAAGCCTGCAGCGTTTTATGAGTCACAACAAGTTTCAGCCTGGAGACGGCCTCTGGTTTCATATCGACTCACAGGGTGGAGGTAGAAGGTCCAGAAACAACGAATCTGGCAGCAGGAGAGCCGCAAGAAAGAAGACTGTTCAAAAAGTGAACAAATGGTGGAAATAACAGCAAAACAAGCTGATTTAAATACAGTGAAGCTGTGTAATGTTCTGCTTGTTTTAAGCTGCTGTAGATTGTAAAGAACCAAACTACTATTGTGGACGTTTTCTGTTTGTTTCTAAACACGTGAACTAAAACGTTTTTCTGTGACATTATGATCAGTATTTGAACAAAACAGAGGAAATCTATAGTTTTGCTGAATTAAATACGGTAACAAAAAATACTGTAATTACTACATTATTTTTAATTATTTGATATATAAACTGTGACATTAGAAACAACACATTTTTTATAAATTTGAATTTTTTTTACTGTTTTCTTTTACTTGAAAAAAAACTGATAAACACTTTGACTTGATCTATAACTTGTGTGTCTCTTTTTTAAATATAACATCTACAAAATGTACAAACATCCTATAAAATTAACTAAAGCCATTACGCATATAAAGGAATTTCTTCGTATAGAAAAATGAATAAGCAGATAAATATAATACATGCCAACATTTACTTTTTTTTAAACCTGGCTTTACTGAGACCAGCAACTCACAAAACAAATGACAGCATCAGCTCTGGTTCTGCCGTCGATAACGAGCTTTAGCATCAGAAAAACGTGTTTTCTGACATGACAGGTAGCCCCATATGAGTGATGAGCTACTTACAGACTGTAACTTAAACCATTTGAAGGACTAGATTCTGTTTTTTAATGTGTTGTATAAATAAGGGTGATTTAATTTGACTTCAACTCCCTGCTTCAGCCTCCAGATCTGATCCCAGAGGAGGCTCTTCCAGCTCCAGGGGCAGTTTGTATCCTGTATCGGGGTGAACATGCATCATGACGTTCAGCTAAATAAATCTGTACCAGCATGCATTGGGACAGACTCGTCATTGCGCCCCACTAAACTCTTTTACCGTCTTCTGAAGCGGTCGTTTCTTCGCTGCATCTCTCCGGTATCTGAGTTGTTTTGTTTATCCAAACTAGCCTGGACACGTTTAGCAAATGACACCATAAAAGTACTATAATTACCGTAATGTGTTTGTGTCGTCATACTGTTTTATTATCACACGTGAGAGCGGCTGCATCCTGCTGCAGACGAGCTGAACTGGTTTTTGATTTGCCTTGATGGGAAATCCACTGTGTTCATCACACAGAAACTCCAACTCTTCAGATTCAAGCTAACGCCCCTAAACAAGCCGCTGCTCATGATGTCATTGGTCTGTCGTTAGGCCAACGCTGGATTTTAATTAAGCTAACGAGCTGCTCTACATGAGCCTACACAAGGTATCAGCCGTGGAAGTCTGATGAAAAATGACAGGAATTCAATCAGGTGAGTGGAAAATCAACAACAAAAAAGGGGAAATTAGATCATGTAGTACAACATGAAGGACAATTAGTTTAAATGCTCGTTTCTAACGATTCCAGACACATTATGCAGTAAAACAACACGACATGAAACACACAGAGGGAATAAACGAGTGTGACAGCAACATAAAAAGACAACAAGGGAGGAAAGCATGTTGGAGATATTAGACAATATTGTTCCTCAAGCTCTGTAAGTCCTACAAACGCCATCAGACAGCCAAGTCAGAACAAACCACGGTCACAACCAAAGCACCTGCAGACCACCTCAGACCAGTGTTCCATCAAACAGGCTTGATTTTAATACCGACAAACAAGTCTGAGGTGTCGATCACAAACGCCAACACATCAGGAGTTAACGTTTCCACCTCACCTTAAAAAACGTTGGCTACACAAGCTCTAAACCACCAAAACTCAAAACAGTCCACACAGCTACACTCCTCAGAGCTAAACGCTTTAAAAGTGAAATGATATAAATGAGTTTCAAGCGTTTCTATGGTCTGTGTCACGTTTGGCTTCAAGTTTATCAGGAAAAATATCCCTAAAAAAAGAGCTTAAAGTCTGGATAGTTCATGGAAGTCACTCCAATAAACTGCACGAATCGTAGAAAACAGAAAAGATTCAACATAAACGACAGCGGACTCTGCTGTGGCCGGCGGTCACAAGACAAAGCTTAGACAGAGCAGAGAGGAGACGAGCAGGAAACAGATTTAAAATGTAAACAGGTAAATATTTACACTGTCAACACATGAACACGGTGCTGACAGGTTGACTTTTATATTACTGTAAAATACACAATCAAAGTAATTCAACTGTTTTTGTTTTCTTCCGTCTCACAAAAGACATTTCTGAGCTTTCTCTCCCCCAAAGACCTCTAAGAAAACGCTCGAGGTCATTACTTATAAGACGCCTAAAAGTTGTGCTTGATGCAAAAAAACAATAAAAATATTTCAGAGTAGATGTTTGTAAATCAGCATCAGCGGACAGGAAGCAGTGGACCGGCTGTTTCCACAAACGCTCGGTCATTTATCTTCTGTTTTCTGTCTCACATCTGCTGAGACAGCCAGTCCAGCACCAAGGACTGCAACAAGGCCCGGTTCTTACCTGTACTGTACAACCATCATGTTCTGCTCGCCGCAGTGTCTGGCACAGCGGATGTAGCGCATCCAGCTGGACTTGCTGGGATCATTACCGTCGATAAAGTGCTGTAACGTCCCCTCTGCGTCGTAGATCTGAAACACACACAGTGTCAGGATTAGAAGCAGTACATGTCCAGAGAGCTGCTGGGCCTGGTCTGAGAGCAACGTGATGAGCTCTACAGAAGATAAGACTGTAGAATTAGATTAAGATTCTTCATTTATTTTCTGATCTGTAGAAAAATGGAGGAAAAAAAAGCACATCGTCCAAAGACGGCAGCATCTTTAAATCGCTTCACATTTGAGAGGCGGGAACCATCAGCTGTTGGACATTTTAGTTGGAAAATGAGCAAAAGCGACCGACTTTTTGCCACAACACCAACCTTTACATTGATTATAGATGATGGATGGATGGATCGTCTTGGTGAATGTCAACTTTAAAAAACGTTTTCAAAAAATTCTCTCATTATTCAGATTTCAAATAAATAAATAAATTGACAAAACATTTAATAAAACAAAATGTTGAATATTTAATATTAATTTCTATTTTCAGTGTCTTTAGGTGGTAGGGCCAAAAAAATCAAGAAAATTAATATCAAACACTGTTTTTTTATTCTTTTTTTTTTCTATTATCAAGTATAAACCACCTGAAAACCACCTTATAATTTAAATTACTCAAGTAATTTGATAGAGGATATAATTATGTAGGTTCTAAAACTTTACATTTAAGTTAATCGGGCTGGTTTTGTATTTTTTTTTAATGATTTTCAAGGATCTTACTGATAATTATAATGAAAACAGTTGGACAGGATAATTAATAATAGTGTAGGGTCTTGAATGTAATATTTAACTTAGCCATGTAAATATGTTTTATTAGTAGGCTTTAATCATAACATTTATATTAGATTTACTTATCAGATAAAACCATATGGCTGCAGCCTTATTAATTAAACTTGTTAAGATCAATTAAAAGCTCCAGTCTTAGTGTTCGGCTGAAAGCTGTTGGTTTAAATGTAATATATAATATATAATAATATATAATATATAATAACAGTAACTTTATGTTAAGATGCAGTGAAGACAAGTTTGCGAATATTCATGATTTTTGGGGTTTTTTTGCTTTTTTTTTTGCTGAAAAAAATCACCTGTTTTTAAAGTAATTTCTTCCAAAAAGTGCAGCTACTTGTTTTTTATGGTGTTTTGTTTCAATATCAAAGCTCATATTTGGATAAAACATCATCACGGTTCATTTTAAAAGTAAAAACAATGACTTAGGAGAAGACAGATGTTTAAACGGAGACGTGTGGCCTCTTCAAAGTGTCGCATCTGAAAACGTACACAAACCATCTGAATAATCGACCTGCGGCGCTTTAAAAAGTCTCGCTGATATCTGCCGTGTTTAGACGATATGTTACGACACCTGCAGCCTTTAAACACACTGCGGGGCTGAAAATACACAAAGCTTCAGCTCAACAATATTTCGTTCGGCGGTATTTACTTTAGTGACGAGCTGTAACGCTGCAGCTTGTGTCGGAATATTTACGGCGAAACAAAAGGAAATTGTTTATTTTAGGAGATTAATCGCACGAGAACGATTCCTGATTCGCGGCCGCACGAGAAAGAAATAAGTCGAGTTGATTTGAAAAGTTTTAAACAAGTGGGTGCCACTAATCTTCAGGCCTCTCGTCCTTCTGGGTGCTAAACGTTACACAAAGCTGATTTAGACGCGACTAAAAGCCTCGACGCTCCTCCAGCTGCAGGACGACTCACAACGACTAAAAATAGGTTTTCAGGGTGAAGTCAACAAACCCACGGAGACGACGCAGGAGCTGATTTTCTATGCTGCTGCTTCCTCTAAGACTGAGAAACCAAACGGATGTAAATGTGCTGATGGTCCTCTGACAGACTGATGTCTCTTCCTGTCACTGACCCGGTGACCTCTCCTCTAGCGCCACCTCCAGGACAAACTCTATTCAACCACAAACACCGTCACAGGTTTTAAAGCTCCAAGACTTTGGGATATCGTTCATCTTTCAATAAATGATCCTCTTTTATTGGCAGTTTGAACTAAAATTTTATATTTTGTATATTTTTAT